TTTTTATATATATATGTGTGTGTATATATGTATGTGTATATGTATGTATGTGTATATGTGTGTGTGTGTGTGTATATATATATATATATATATGAACATATAACTAAAATACAGAACAACCATCATTCAGACCCAGTTGAAATCTGGCTGAATGGAAGTCCTACAACTAGAGAAGTAAATAAGAAAGCACATGCCACACACAAGACCCCTCAGTCCAGGGTTCCAGTGTTGGAAAGAGAAGTCCCCATAACTTCAGGCTATAAAAACAAGCAGGGATTGAGGCTGAGTGACATGGAGTCCCAGCAGTTCCTCTTAAAGGGATGATACACAGACTTACTCAGACTTGCTCAGGGGGGGATCCAGGGACATATGGGAAGGAACTGGATTGTCTGGCAGCAGAGCAAGAACTAGAATGTGTCTTTCTCCCAGAAAGGAGTACTCACAGGGGTTCATCATTCCTATGCTGAGACCTCCCTCCTAATCCCTCCCGTCCCAGAGCTGACTGACAGGTGACATATCTGTCTCCATCAACCTTGCTCACACTGTTCGCTCCACCCTGGTGTTCTAAAACCCCGCCCCACTCAATCTGCAGCCCCACCTAAGCTGTTTGTAGTGGCTTTTCCATATGAATGGCCTGTCCTTGCTCAGGCTTCAGTCTTTCCTAAAATAGCTAAAACAAGCAGAAGCTGGCATCAGCATGCTCCATACCTCTTAATAAGAAGCCCAAGACCCAGCACCAGCAGCAGCATGCCTTGCTTCACAGCTGGGCCTCGCCTGGGCACCTCCGAGCCCAATACAAATAGCAGCCAACTGCAGATCGCTCTGTAGCTCCTGCCAGTGCACTCAGTGGACAGCTTCAGACCACACCGTATTACAACACTACACATGCACAAGTAACACATACAAGGAATCTAATGAACAAAATAAACTGATGAATAAAATAGAAACAGAGGCATGGAATCATGAAACAGACTGATGAATCTCAGAGGGAGGAGGGGAGAAGGTGGTCGGGACACCTGTAATACTCGCAACAATAAAGATTAAAAAATAAATAAGTAAATAAACAAAAGGTTTGAATATTAAAAAAAAATCAATGAAAACATAAAAGAACAAACAAAAAACAAACAAGCCATAGCCAGTTTGGCTCATAGGGTAGAGCATTGGCCCAAAGACTGAAGGGTCCTGGGTTTGATTCTTGCCAAGGGCACGTACTTCAGTTGTAGGCTCAATCCAGGACCCTGAATGGGACACGTTTAGGAGGCAACCAATTGATGTGTCTCTCTCACATTGATGTTTCTCACTCTCTCCCACTCCCTTCCACTCTCTCTAAAAAAATAAAAATCAATGTAAAAAAAATCTTGGGTGAGGATTAACAAAAACAAACAAACAAACAAACAAAACAAAAAATAAACCAAACTAAACAACTCCCCACAACAAAATAAACCTTCTAAAAGCCAAAAGTGCAGGACCAGATGGCTTCACCAGTGAAGTCTATCAAAAATTCAAAGAATATTTAATACATATCCTGCTCAAACTCTTCTAAAAAACTGAAGAGCCAATACTTCCTAATCCATTTTATAAGGTCAATATAACCTTGATACCAAAACCTGGCACAGATAACACAGAAAAATAAACTTACAGACCAATATCTCTGATGAGTACAGATGCAAAAACCCTAAATAAAATACTAGCAAATCGAATACAATAGTACATTAAAAAATAATATACCATGATCAAAGGTTCATTCCAGGGTACAAGGATGGTTCAACATATACAAATCAACTTAGCCTTTTATATATACAGAATAAATTTGCTTAATTAGACCTGCTTTCTGATTTTGCTAAACTTTTTCCAGCCCAGTGAAGCACCCCAACTTCTCTTTCAAGTAATTGTCAACAACACAGCAGTAAATATCAACACGAAGCAAATTATTATTGTAGGTCATGCGGTGGGAACAAAGGGGAAAATATTTAACTGCAGCCGTGTTTGACTATAATCTGCGCAGTGAGAAAACCTGAAGTCATTTCCAAGGTCCACCATTTCTAATTTCTTTTCAGTTGGGACAAGTTTCTAAACTTTCTAAATTTCCGTTTTCCGGCTAATGAAAAGAAAATAGAATTCCACCGAGTCTCCTATCTACCTACTCCAGGACTTCTGTGAAGATCAAACGAGATGAGGCTCGGGAAAATGCTTCACAGACATTTAAAGTGTGAAATGTTTGCACCTGACTATAAAGGAAGTTGTGTTCCTGAGCTGAAAAAACTGCAAGGAGGCTAGTCGTCGCTAGGGAGAGGAAGCCAGGCATTGCTACGTGACATCATTACCTGGCGCCCACAGAAACCATTTCCAGGCTGAGTTGGGTTGTGGGCTGCACTTTGCGCCATGGGGTCTCGGCAGCATCAGCATCAATTTGGTGGGCTGTCGCTCTGGGGTGGTGGTGGGGTCTGTGTCCCACTTGGGGGAAGCCAAGTGTTGCTTTGTGGGCACAAGGTCTGCAGTGCCATTTCTCTGTAAATGGCCAGTGCATTGAGCATCTGCCCTCTGGTGGTCAATGCGCTTCACAGCGACCGGCTGGACACTTAGCATAAAAACCTAATATGCTGTGTCCAGTCAGCCGTTTAAACAATCAAAGAGTAATATGGTAATGATATGCTAAGGCCGTTCAACTGCTCGCTATGACGTGCACTGACCACCAGGGGGCAGACAGTCAACCGGTTGACCAGTCGCTATGATGTGCACTGATCACCAGGGGTCAGACACTCTGACTGGTAGGTTAGCTTGCTGCTGGGATCTGGCCAATCAGGACTGAGCGAGATGGCTGCACATACCCTGGACCCCTCCCGTGATCCATCCCTGGCTGGCCAACCTCCCATGTCCCTACCCAGCCGTGATCATGCACCAGTGGGGTCCCTCAGCTTGGCTGCACCATCTCATAATCCGGGACCCCTAGGGGGATGTCGGAGAGCCAGTTACAGCCCGATCCCACAGGCATAAAAGGCTAATATACAAATTGACCAGTCGCTATGAGGCGCACTGACCACCAGGGGGCAGACACTCAACGCAGGAGCTGTCTCCTGGTGGTCAGTGTGTTCCCACAGGGGGAGCACTGCTCGGCCAGAAGCCGGGCGCATGGCTGGCAAGCGAAGCAGCGGTGGTGGGAGCCTCTCCCACCTCTGTGGCAATCGGACATCCCCCGAGGTCTCCAGGACTGCGCGAGGGCACAGGCAGGGCTGAGGGAACCCAAGTGCACGAATTTCATGCACTGGGCCTCTAGGATAAAATAGTACTGGAAGTCCTAGCCAGAGTAATCAGGCAAGAGAAAGAAATAAAAGGCATCCAATTTGGGAATGAAGAAGTGAAAGTGCCACCGTTTGTAGATGACATGATTCTTTATATAGAAAACTCTAAAGACACCACCAAAAAACTATTAGAAACAATGAACAAATGCAGGAAGTGGCAGGATACAAAATTAATATACAAAAATACACTGATCTGCTTTCCTATATACTAACAATGACATTTTAAAAACAAACTAAAAAATGAACAACAATAACAAAAAATACTTTTGCAATTGCAACAAAAGTAGAATACCTGGGAATAAACTCAACAAAGGATGTGAAGGACCTGTACACTGAAAACTGCAAGATATTATTAAAAAAGTTTGAAAAAGACACAATAAGTTGGAAAGGTATTCCATATTTATGAATTGGAAGAATCACCATAGTTACAATGGACATATTATCCAAAGCAATATACAGATTTAATGCAATCGCCCATCAAAACCCCAATGGCATTTAAAAAAGAAATAGAACACAAAATCATCACTTTTGTATTGAACCACAAAAGACCCCAAACATCCAAAACAATCCTGAGAAAAAAGAACAAAACCGAAGGTATCACACTCCCCGACTTCAAATTATACGAAGCAACAATAATTAAAACAGCATGGTATTAGCAGAAAAACAGACACAAAATTTAAGGGAACAGAATTAAGAGCTGAGCCCAGAAACAAACCCACATGTATGCGGGCAAATGATTTTTGACAAAGGAGCCCAAAACATACAATGGAAAAAAGAAAAACTTTTTAATAAATGGTGCTGGGGACATTAGAAAGCCACATGCAAAAGAAGCAAATTAGTGTTTATCCATATATATTAGAACTTAGGTACTAAATTTTATGGACCTTGGTCTTACGGAGAATTCTATGAATTTGACCCCAAAGGTAAGGGAAGTAAAAGCAAAAATAAATGAATAGGACTATATCAAACTAAAAAACTTCTGAACAGCAAGACACCATGAACAACAACAACAAAAACACAAAGGAATGGGTGAAAATATTTGCAAACAATAGCTCTGACATGCAGTTAATATCCAAAATATTTCAAGAACACAACACTGAAGAAATAATCCAATTACAAGAGGGACAGAAATCCTGGACACTTCTTCCAAGAAGACATAGAACTGGCCAACAGACATATGAAAAGACACTCAACTTCATCAGCTATTAGGAAAATGCAAATCAAAACTAGAATGAGTCACCACCTCACACTTGTTAGAATGTTATCATCAATAAGAAAGCAATAATAACAAGTGTTGGAGAGGTTGTGAAAAAAAAAAGAATCCTCATTCATTGTTGATGGGAATATAAACTGTTACAGCAAATATGAAAAACAGAAACAGTACGGAGGTTCTTCAAATTTGTTAAGAATAGAGTTACTATATAATCAGCAACCCCTCTTCTGGGTATCTAGCGGAAAAATTTGAAAACATTTATTTGCAAAGATATATGCATCCCTACGTTCTGTGCAGCAGATTCGTGGTGGCCAAGACATTAAAACAACTAAAGTGTCCTTCGGTCAATGACTGGATCAAGAAGAGGTGGTACATATATAAAATGGAATACTACTCAGCTGTAAGATGAAACACTGTCATTTGCAACAACATGGATGGATCTTGAGAATATCATTGAAGCAAAATTAAGTCAGACTGAAAAAGCTAAGAACCATATGATTTCACTCATATGTGGGATATAAAATTGAAAACAACAAATGAACAAATAAGAAAAACAAACAAACAAAAACTCACAGACACAGGTAACTGTATAGTTGTTATTGCAGGGAAGGGGGTGAGAAAGGGGGTATCAAATAAATGGTGACAGAAGATCTGACTGGGTGGTGGACACACAGTGCGATATACAGATGATGTGTCATAGAATTGTACATTTGAAACCTATATGATTTTAATAACCAATGTCACCCCCGTAAATTAATTAACAAACAAACAAAAGGAGTCACTGACCATGTGCCAGCAAAGTCAATATAAAAAGGACTCAATGTCCCCAAAAGTCAGAACCTCATCTGCAACCTGGGGGAATACAACCTGCTTCTTAGGATAAAAATGAATGAGAACAGATGTGAGGAACCAGGCACAAGACCTCATACAAAGCAGACTCTCATTCTGTGTATGTTTAGGAAATATACAGAAGGCATATAAGTGACAATGGAGTAGCCCAGGGGTCGGCAAACCGCAGCTCACGAGCCACATGCGGCTCTTTGGCCCCTTGAGGGTGGCTCTTCCACAAAATACCACATGCGGGTGTGCCAGTACAGTGCGATTGAAACTTCGTGGCCCGTGCGCAGAAGTCGTTTTTCGGAAAGGAGATAGACGAGACAAGTATACAAGACGAGTGTGGATGGGAGAGTTGGAAGGGGTCGACCTTAGCGAACATACCTTAATCAGATTGAGGACGTTTTTAGCAAAGGCCAGCTTAGGAGTACCCTAATTAAGTTAGTAACAATGTACCTACTTATATAGTTTAAATTTAAAAATTTTGGCTCTCAAAAGAAATTTCACTCGTTGTACTGTTGATATTTGGCTCTGTTGACTAATGAGTTTGCCGACCACTGGAGTAGCCGAAATAGGATATGAGGAATTAAAACAAGTACAAATATACTGTATGTTATTTAATTAATATTTTAATTGGTAGGAATATGTGTCAAGTAAAATACTGTTTGTAATATGATTGGCGAGATGTTAGTTCAAGAGCTTCACTGTGACAATGATAGTGAAGAAGAGGCCCAATGTTTAGGGGAACTTTGGCAATTCAATCTAGATGCAAGAACCTTGACCTGAAACATACTGCCAGTGGTGAAAAGAAAAAAAAATCCAAATTGTTTTATAGTATTAACTTTTCACCACCTTTATTTAATTGTCCCATCACCATTTATCCCCCCTATACCCTCCTTCCACCTCCCCATCAACCTCCCCCTGAAATCACCACAAAAACCCAACTTTCAAAACTATTGCTTAGTCCTTACTTGACACACGTAAGATTTCTGAAAAGGAACTAGAGATTTAAGTTGCTTTAAAACTCAATTTCTATTTCCAGTGGACCAAATACAGAATACAGACAGAGGACACTGAAGCAATAGGGCGCTGTGAGCAGCCCACAGGACGAGTTATAGAATGGGGCAAAGAATCTTACCATCAGTCTGCACAGAGAAAGCAGAACACTGAACAAGGTTTCCAGGGCCGTAACACAATCCTCCTTCCCATTTTCGCCCTAGTGAATAAAAAAGAAACACATACTGAACTGTTAAAACCAAGTAAGAAATTTATTAAAAAGAGACAATCTAGCCCTAGCTGGTTTGGCTCAGTGGATAGAGCATCAGTCTGTGGACTGAAGGGTCCTGGATTAGATTCGGTCAGGGCACATGCCTGGGTTGCAGGCTCGATCCCCAGTAGAAGGCATGCAGGAGGCAGCTGATCAATGATTCTCTCTCATCATTGATGTTTCTATTTCTCCCTCTCCCTTCCTCTCTGAAATCAATAAAAATATATTTTAAAAAAGGAGAGACAATCCATAGGGAGCACACAATTAAAAAGAGAGAGAGAGAGAAAGAGAGAGAGAGACAATCCCTAGGGAGTACATATTGTACAGATAGGACGGAGAGAGCAAGGAGATGTGACTAGCACAGATGATCTGGGGCCAGGGCAGAAAGCCAGGATGAGACCCTTACTTCCTCCCATACCACCTGAGGCCAAGCTAATGGAGAAGGGCTCTGTAACTGTGAGGTAAAGATGAGTTAAGAGAACCCGATGTCTGAGAGTGGGATTCCCACACCATGGACAAGTAGTTGTTAACCCTTTGAGTGCCAACCAATATCCTAGGAACTATGCTAAAATTGCCAAGGCATTTTTGCTGATTTTACAGCAGTTTAGGAAAAAAATTATGAATTGCAAGTAAATGAAGTTATATATTCAATATCTTCCACAAAATCGTCATCTTCACAGCAAGAATTGACATATTTAGCAATATCATCATCACTAATAAAAGCGGACTTAGAACTGGACACTGCAGGAGGAGCATGATAGCGCTCCTGGCACTTTTGGCAAAAGACAGGAGGAGCGCGATGCGATCGTGTTCCCCGGCACTCTAGGGGTTAACAAAAACTTTAAAGCACTTTTAGGTAGCTTTTAAAAAATATATACACTATGTATTTAAAAATAATTATATTGATTCATTATTAAAAAAACAAAGATAATAAAAAAGAACACTCAACCATAATTATGTTACCCAGAAAAAATTACTGTAAACATTTTAATGCATGTCCTTGTAGATTTTGTGTGTATAAAGACATACATGTATACATGTGCACATTTTAACAAAAATCAATTACTGTTCTGTTCTGGGCTTTTGTCATCAACACATTTGAAGGAAAAGCTAATGGGTAGCCCTAGCCAGATTGGCTCAGTGGATAGAGCGCTGGCCAGCATACTGAATGGTTGCAGGTTCAATTCCAGTCAAGGGCATGAATCTCGGTTGCAGGCTCGATAGCCGGTCATGTGTGCGGGAGGCAACCAGTCAATTTGACATTCACATTGATGTTTCTCTCTCTGTCTCTCCCCTTCCCTACACTCTCTCTAAATATCAATGGAGGATTTAAAAAAACAGAACACCCACAAACAACAACAAAAATGATGTGCGGTGGGCACCTAACTGGCCTTTGGTATGAGTATCTCCTGTATTATATAATCACTAGAGGCCCGGTGCACGAATTCGTGCACTGGTGGGGTCCCTCAGGCTGGCCTGTGCCCTTTAGCAATCCAGGATCCCTCAGGGAATGTCAGAGACCCAGTTTTGGCCCAATCTCCGCAGGCCAGATCTAGGGACTATATCCGTGCACAAATCCATGCCCTGGGCCTCTAGTACGCATATAAGATCTTTGGTAATCTCTTCCCACCCTCGTACCCCTCCCCTCTGAGATTCATCAGTCTGTTCCATGTTTCCATGCCTGTGCATTGAGCGTCTGCCCCCAGTGGTCAGTGCGCATCATAGCTACTGGGTGAACAGTTGCTTAGGTTTTTATATATATAGACTAGAGACCCGGTGCACAAAAATTTGTGCAGTCGGGGGTGTCCCTCAGCCCGGCCTATGCCCTCTTGCAGTATGGGACCCCTCGGAGGATGTCCACCTGCTGGCTTAGGATGCTCCCTGGGGGATCGGGCCCAAGCAGGCAGTCAGACATCCCTCTGGCAGCCTGGCAGCCCTTGGGGGATGTCCATTTGCCAGCGGGGAGCAGGCCTAAGCTGCAGTCGGACATCCTTAGCGCTGCTGAGGAGGCAGGAGAGGCTCCCACCACCACCGCTGTACTGGCAGCCTCAAGCCCTCCCCAGTGGGGACCCTCGCCCCATGGAGGTTTGGCCAGCCTGGGTGAGGGGCTGATGGCTGTTTGCAGGTTGGTCAAGCCCTCCCCAGTGGGGACCCTCGCCCCATGGAGGTTTGGCCAGCCTGGGTGAGGGGCTGATGGCTGTTTGCAGGTTGGTCAAGCCCTCCCCAGTGGGGACCCTCGCCCCATGGAGGTTTGGCCAGCCTGGGTGAGGGGCTGATGGCTGTTTGCAGGTTGGTCAAGCCCTCCCCAGTGGGGACCCTCGCCCCATGGAGGTTTGGCCAGCCTGGGTGAGGGGCTGATGGCTGTTTGCAGGTTGGTCAAGCCCTCCCCAGTGGGGACCCTCGCCCCATGGAGGTTTGGCCAGCCTGGGTGAGGGGCTGATGGCTGTTTTCAGGCTGGCTACACCCCCTTTAGGGTGGGGGGTCTCCACCGGGGTGCCTGGCCAGTCTGGGTGAGGGGCTGAGGGCCATTTTCAGGCTGGCCAAGCCACCCGGCGACGGAAGCTCCCAGCCTCTCCTTTTTTTCTTTTTTATTCTGAGATTTATTTACCTTCTATAATTGAAACTTTGTTGCCTTAAGTGGAGGTCAGAGCCGGCTGCGGCAGGCGGGAAGCTTGGCTTCCTCCATCATCGGGGCAACCAAGCCTCCTGCTTGCTCCAGCTCCCTGGCGGCCCATCTTGGTTGGGTTAATTTGCATATAGTCACTTTGGCTGGTGGGCGTGGCTTAAGGCATAGTGGAGGTACGGCCAATTTGCATGTTTGTCTTTTATTAGTGTAGATAGAAGATTGCTTATGCAAGGCTTAAGTCTTGAGACAGGACTTATTCTTCATTCGTTAAAAGTCCCCAACATGCTCAAGGAAGAGTTTTATCAATAACTGACCCTCTATAGCTCAGAGTTCCTCTGGAGATCACAGTTGTACATGACATTTGAAAATATTTGCATAACTTGTTTTGGGTTTTAAGAGGTATGCTTAGTTTACTGCTATGTGGCCCTGAGCCTCCCTCTAATATGGCATGTCCATAATTGTGTTCTGAAAATATGCGCCATGACTTTTAAAACTTACAGGTCCCTAGCCATCAAATGGCGATAAATAGAGTTAATACGAAACGTAAAAAGAAAAAAATTGCTTCAAAACATTACGGCATTGGGCTGTACTTATTTTCACACTTCCTACACTTTCTGCTCTTCTGAAGAACAACCTGGACTTACCTTTAATCTTCGGCGGTTCATCCTGACATACCAATTGGTCAGAACATCGACAAACTTGACCAGGCGGGGCACCACAGTATAAAGCCTATAAGCTAAAAGTAAGACCAATCAATCAGGAACTGAGAATAGACTAAGCATTTGGGGTGCTTGGGGAAGGAGTGGACACAAGGAAAGAACGAGTAGCCCTGTCATCCGAGGGTCCCCATGCTTGTTGAGACAGAATGAACCAAAAGGGAAGCAATCACACTGGCTCCTGCACTGAGTACATACTCAATGACCATAAAGTGTCTTGGGGTGCACACAACTGCCCTGTGAGCCACTGTCAGTGAGAAAAATGGATATCCTGTATGTGTGGCCAAGAGGCCAACACTACTCATCACACAACGCCAGGAGGCAGGTTTACCTGGAGGTGTACAATGCTACAGCACCACACAGGCCCAACTTCCTTCACTGTGCTGCTCTGTACGTCAACTAAGACTGACACACAGTTTCTCAACTAGAGCAACTCTGTTCCACAGGGGACACTGGCAATGCCTGGAGACATCCTTGTCATAACTGAGCATATGGGTGCTCCACGCATCTGGCAAAGGAAGCCCAGTGATACTTGCTGCTCAACATCATATAACACACAGCCCAGCCCCACCAGAGAACCCACAAGCCCAAGCTATCCTTCATGATGCCACCGAGAAACTTAGCAAGAACCATGAATAAAACAGAATAGACTTTCTGAAGACCAAAATAGGGTGGGGGGTTTCCACCCATACCTCATTTTACTGCACTTGTTTTATTATGTTTCAGATTTTTTAAAATACAAATTGAAGGATTCTGGCAAACCTGCAAGTTAATCGGCACCATTTTTCCAACATAATTTGCTTGCTTTGTGTCAGTCATGATTCTTTCAATATTTCAAACTATTTCATTACTATACTTGTTATGATGATCTGGGGTCAGTGGTCGTTGATGTTACTATTGCAACTGTTTTGGGGTATCATGAACTATCACAAAACATTTCAAACTTAATCGATAAGTGTTGTGTGTTCCAATTGCTCTATTGACTGGCTATTCCCCTCTCTCTCTCCTGCTCCTCAGGCCTCTCCAGTCCCTGAGAATACAACAACATTGAAATTAGGGCAATTAATAAAACTACAATGGCCTCCAAGTGCTCAAATGAAAGAAGAGTCGCACAATTACTCCTGGTGAAGATGCTGTGGAGACTGTTGAAATGACAACAAAGGATTTAGAACAGTGGTTCTCAACCTTCTGTCCCTTTAAATACAGTTCCTCATGTTGTGACCCAACCATAAAATTATTTTTGTTGCTGCTTCATAACTGTAATGTTGCTACTGTTATGAATCGTAATGTAATTATCTGATATGCAGGATGGTCTTAGACGACCCCTGTGAAAGGGTCGTTCAACCGTCAAAGGGGTCGTGACCCACAGGTTGAGAACCACTGATTTAGAATATTACATAAACTTAGTTGGTGAAGCAGCAACAGGGTGTGAAACTGACTCTAATTTTGAAAGAACGTCTACTGTGGGTAAAATGCTATCAAACGGCATCCCATGCTATAGAGAAACTGTTCATGAAAGGAAAAGTCAATTGATGCAGCAAACTTCATTCATTGTTGGCCAATTTTAAAAAATTGCCACAGCCACCACCACCCTGATCACTGAGCAGGCATCAAGATGAAGAAAAGAGCCCTGGCCAGGTAGCTCATTTGGCTCGAGTGTCATCCCAATATGCCAAGGTTGAGGGTTCAATCCCCGGTCAGGGCACATACAAGAATCAAACAAAGAATGTATAAATAAACGGAACATCAAATCAATGTTTCTCTCTCCCCCCCATCCTCTCTCTAATATCAATCAATAAATCCTATATAAGAAAAGCCTAATATGCTAAGTGTCTGGTCACCTTGTGACTGGTCGACCGTTCAACCAATCAAAGTGTAATATGCTAATGATATGCTAAGGCCGCTCAACCGCTCACTATGACGTGCAATGACCACCAAGGGTAGGTTAGCTTCCTGCTGGGGTCCAGCCAATCGGGACTGAGCGAGACAGGTTGGACACGCCCTAGGGCCCTCCTGCAGTCCCTTCCTGGCCCTGATCGTGCACTAGTGGGGTCCTTTGACCTGGCCTGTGCCCTCTTGCAATCTGGGACCCCTTGGGGGATGTCGGAGAGCCAGTTTTGGCCCAATCCTGCAGGCCACTTCACTCAGGAGGGCGCCAGATGCAGGGCTTATGGCTGGTGAGCACAGCTGCGACTGCGTGAGAGTCTTCCGATTGGGAATGATTGGGTGCAAGCCCGCGGCAGGCACAGTGGGGCCAGGATGAGCGGGAGCGGCAAGTAGGAGTTGCAGGTGGCATTGGACTGTGGGTTTTTGCAAGATCCTCATAGGCCACCCAGAGGGACCCCATCCATGCACGAATTTGTGCATTGGGCCTCTAGTAAATAAATAAATAAAAGGAAAGAACCCACACCAGCAAAACAGCTCCTACTGAAGGCTCAGATGATGGCTAACATTTTTTAGCAGCATTTTTTGTTGCTGTTAATCCTCACCCAAGTATATTTTTTCCCATTGCTTTTTAGAGAGAGTGGAAGGGAGGCAGGAGGGAGAGGAGGAGAGAGACATAGACTGGATACCTGCTACATGTGCCCCAACCAGGGGCAGGGAGTAAACCTCAAACCAGGTACATACCCTTAACTGAAATTTGAACCTGTGACCCTTCCGTGTACGGGTCTATGCTCTAACCACTGAACACCACCAGCCACGACAAGCATTAAACTATTTTTTTTTTTTAGTAAACTGTTTTTAAAATTAAGGTGTGGACATTGTTTTAGACACAATGCTATTGCACACTTAATACTATAAGTACAACTTACATATTCAATGGAAATCAAAAAATTCATGTGACTTGCTTTATTGTATATTCTCTTTATTGGATATTTGCTTCATTGTGGTGGTCTGGAACCGAACCCACACTATCTCCATGACATGCCTATAGTCAAAGAAGGAAAGCTAAAGGGGGTAGTGAAAGGCAAAAAGATCTGTAAAGCATTAGAAAGACTGGAAGGCTCTTGTGAGGAACTCGAGGGCCAGCAGGAAAGTAAGGGTGTCTTAGCCCATCTTTTTTGAGGCACAGGCTTATTTTAGGGATTTTCCCACTCACGTCCCCTTTCACTGAAACTCTGTCGCTCAAACAACACAATTTATTTTAATGTTCAGTGACTGTTAATAATGCTGCTGGTCTAAGCCAACATGGTGAGAAATTGCCAAGGGCAGAGCTGCTCTCTGCGGTGGTTCACAAAGACCAGAAAGAGGTGCTGCAGGCCCATCCCCGTCCAGTCCCTGGCTGTTTGCACATTCCCAGACAGATGATGTCTGTGATCAGAGGCCTACCCTGTAAAGCAAGCAGGTCAAACTCTCAGCCCGTGATCTGCATGCAACCCACAAAGAATATATTTGCGGCCCAACCAATTTAACCGTATGTAAGAAACATTTTAATAAAAATTTCATAACTTAATTTTTATAATATCCTATTATACATAATTATTAATAACAAACTACAACGTTCGCTAATGGCTGATTACTAGAATCGTGTTGCATTCGTTTCCCTTAAGCACCTTACGCGCAGGCACACCATTTCTCTCCACCAATACTGGCAGTGAATATTTTAGCAGCCGATGGCCACGTCATTAGTCTTGAACTGACTTGTTTGGTGTGCGCAACAGGAAATATTTAGCTTTCAGAGAACAAGAAAAATAGGTTTAGTTGCGTTATGCTTAGTAATTTGTGCAGTTATTCAGTGTCTGGTACATTAATGTTCAAGAAAAATATTATTATTAAATGTTCAGTTATTTTGTGATAACAATGACTAATTTATTTTAGCCCTTTGTACTCAGCATGTCTCTATGGAAATAAATCAACGTTTCTATGAAAATGGAAGGTTTTTTTGTGGCCCACATACACTTGGCCCATGGTAGCCTTTGAGTTTGACATGCTTGCTGTGTCGGCCTCTGGCCTGAAGGATCCTGAGTTCGATTGTGGTCGGGGGCACATGCTCGGGTTGCGGGCTCAATCCCCAGTAGGGGGCTTGCAGGAGGCAACCAATCAATGATTCTCTCTCATCATTGATGTCTCTTTCTTTCCCTTTCCCTTCCTCTCTAAAATCAATAAAAAATATTAAAAAAGAAAAGAAAAGACAGAGGCCTAAGTTATTCTTAGTGTTCATTACACTTTTCATCTTCCAGGAAGCCATCATAACCTACTTCCTATATTCAGGTTTCAGCTTAGTGAGATGAAGCCTATGGGTAACGAGCACACAGAAGCAGTAGCAACTATCGCTGAGATCACTATAAAAGCATCACGCTTCAAGGATGCTACTTCAGACTCTGTTGACGAGGGAGCTGAGGGCACAAGCTGCATCACACAGCCTGCGTGGAGCACACCTGGCCTCTCACATCTGGCTCTTTCTTACCACTAAGCTGATGTGCACAAGCTGCCTAACCTCTAACACCCAGTCAGACTGGGCACACTCTTCAGGAGGGCAGTTGCCTAAAGATGCAGGAGCCCCAAGCAATAAGCCCCAGCACGGTTTCCCTCCCACTCACATCACTCAGGAGGAGGGAGTGAGTGTGGCTGTGAGCCCTTGTCCTGGGAGCCCGGTGAACTCCCACTCAGGAGTCTGCTTCCCACACTCATTTCCATCGTCACTTCTGTCCAACAGCTTGGCAATCATAATGATCCTTATGTTTAAGGGGTGGACATAGTCCGTCAGGATGACTGGTGAGCATGTGGAAATTCCTGGGCTCACTGTCCTTTGCGCCAGGATCAAAGGCACCTACTCTAGTAGGAGCCATGCACCAGCTGAGGACAGCAGGCCCCTGCCTGCACCAAAGGGTGGCTTTGCTCCTCGAAACCATGAGCACTGCACCTGCACGGCAGCCCCTGGCACCCACAGGTGCTGAGGGAGGCAGGTCAACCTCGCTAAGGTGTGCAGCACTGGAAAGCCCGCCTACTTTATCAGACCCACCCATCTCAGGTATCTGAGTTAATGCTTTCTAGAATTTTCCACCCTGACTTCTGGTTGTTCCATCATAACCTACTTTCCAACCTCTGTATAAAACCAAATTCATTGCTGTAGATAACAAATATAGGAAAATGTCTACTTCATTATTGCTTTGCTATATTTCCTAATTTTTCTAGACTGAACAGGACACTTATTTAATAAAGTAGACTTGAAAATAGAAATTTAAAAAATCTATATACATAAAAGGCTGAGCAACCATCCTACCGGTAGCTATGATGTGCAATGACCACCAGGGGGCAGACGCTACGACCGGTAGCTAAGATATGCACTGACCAGCAGGCAGACATTCAACGCAGGAGCTGCCGAGCCGCCGTGACTTGGCAGTGGGGTTCTCAGGTAACGCACCCTGGAACCAGAAAAGAGGTAGCCTGATTCCAGGGTACATCACCTGAGAACCACCCTCTTGCAATCTGGGACCCCTCAGGAGATGTCGGAGAGCTGGTTTTGGCCCAATCCTTGCAGGCCAGGCTGAGGGACCCTACCTGCCAGAGGGACCCCGCTCATTCCGCAGACTCCCTCTGAGCCGCGGTGCCACCCCAGGTGCAGTCGGCCAGGGAGGGACCACTGGAGGTTGGCTCCAGGGTGTGTCCAGCCCGTCTAGCCCAGTCCTGCCCCGCTGGCCATCTTCTAATTAATTTCCTTTCAATGTGCACGAATCTGTGCACCGGAGCACTAGTAAAAAAATAAAAGACCTACTAACATGTACTACTTAGTGAGTACCTACTACCTACCAGATACTTGAAGTACACGAACTCTATTAGAGCCTTAGAATAACTCTAACCAGGTGTTTTTCACAGAAAGAAACTGAGGTTCCCAGATGAGGGAACAGGCACAGAGTCACCCAGCACTGAGCCTATGAAGGGATGAAGCCACTGGGCATCCTCAGAGATGATCCCCCAGGCCTTGGAACAGCACCTTCTACAACTAGTCTTGACAAAATTATATTTGAGTGTTGAAAGAAATAACTATTTACCTACTGTTCTTTATCTCTTAAAATTTCTATAAAATCACCATTGTTTATCAATAAAAAGTTAAATATGTAAAGGGCAATCATAAATATTAAGAGTCCTTAGTCCTGGGAGGAGGGCCAAAGAGAGACACACCTGCCATTTCGGTCTCAAAGAAGGCAATGAGCGACTGCATGAAGGACAGGATCCACTGGTCTGTAATGTTGGCACTTTCTTTAACCGTGTTCTCATTGTAGAGGAATTCCATTTCTTCCTCCTAGGAATTGACAATTATTGAAATATTCTGTTTGCTTGGGGAAATTAATGTAAAGAAATGAGCTGTTTAAAGCACTTAAACTGAAATAGCCAATACCACGCCCCGCCTCCCCCAATCCAGGCCCATTGGCAATCTAAATTTCTAATTTTCAGTAATATTTTCGGGATAAGCTCTAAACCTGGGATATTAAGTCTTCAATTAGTGAATTACATTTTTGAAAGAAGGAGAAGTTAGGAAAAAAATTATTCTTCTGCACCAAAGAATGATTATGAATTGAGAAACATTCCAAAATATTGTCAATAACTATAGGGTATAGTTACTTTAAATCTGAGAGAGGAACGACAGTAAAATTTGCAAGCACTGGATGACTGTCTACAAATTGAAAATGAGCATTGATTGTAGAGCCCGTGTCTTGCCGCCATGCCCAGACCAGGCGCCAGACCAGCAGAGGCTGCAAAGTGGCCCTGCCTAAGAACTGTGGGCCCAACGAGGTGGTTGGAACAAAAAGCCAGGAGCACTAGGGACCTGGGGAAAACGACTGCCTTTCTCAAACACAGGGGAAAATGCCCCCTGGGAAGCTTTATTAGCAGACCTAGACAAGCCAGAGGCAGAAGCAGCAAGTGACCGGACTGCTGGAGTGTGATGTTCAAAGCTCAGCTTCCCAACCAATTTCTCAGGAAGGCATAACATCCCATGTTTAGTCAACAGTAATTTAGCAAGCAATTCTACTTGTAAGATGCTGGAGGTAAAAAGATCAGTGGTACCGGGCCCTAGCCCCAATGGAGTCCTGAAAGCTAAGACAGGAGCCTGCGTCATGGAGCAGGAGAGGCAGCTTCTCCAAGAATGTCATGGGCAGCAGGACAGCTCGGAAGGCACTTTCATATACATCACAATCATTACTTTAAGTCCTAAGACCCCAATGAGAATTTCTCTCACTCAGAGTATCAGCCCAAAGGCACCCATGGAGGGCCTTTACTCTGAGACAGTAGCTGACCCTTCACTGGCTCTGCCATGCCCCACCCCCACTGGTTCCACAAGGGAGGGGAACTGGCTGACTAAATGAATGTCCAATGCAACTCTTCTACAGGTGAGGCTGCTGTCTGCACAGGTGAGCTTGCCGAGGAGCCCCAGTCCCATGCTACTGGCGCAACAAGGACCCCGGATAACTTTACCAATGACCTCCCAAGTGTCTCTGACCCTCCACACCACAGGGACTGTGCAAACGCAGCTCGACACAGCTGGGAAGGCAGAGCTCAACCACAGCACGGCAGTCCATACCTTCTGCAGCCTCAGGACATTCTGGATGAAGAAGCGATAGGCATTGTACCAAGGGAGCAGCACGTCCTTCAGAACATCGCGAACACCTTCCTCCTTAAAGCGGAGGTTTTCTGCTCTCACCACAGGGGAGTTAATCAGATACAATCTGGAAGAGAAAAATTATACCGAAAAGGAATGTAGACAGTAAACAATTATTATGTGACATTTTGACAGGGCAACACCAAAACTAGCATTTCTGCTACAAAAGGGGTAATTATGAATACTCTTCTCGTGATCTATTTAAAACTGATAAAGCTCTTACTGTTACATGCATGAGGCCAAGCACATTATAAAAGGAGATGTAAGCCCAGTGCAGGCCACCGGTGGTGGGTGCAGCAGAACCCAAAGGCGTCGGCCAGGCCCTCCTCCCAGAACAATGCAGGCACCAAAGACTCCCCAGGAGCAGCTGTGTGTGCTCTGCCAGGGCAGAGGGCTGGGGGGCTTTTAATTTGAACACTCAATGATCTCTGGATTTGAAAATGTCACCATTATTAAAAAACCACTTTGGGGGGTTTGAGTCAACATCATACAAATGTAGCTCCCCTTGTAGCAAAGATACATTTTTTAAAAAGCAAATTCTAAACCACATCTAAGGAACATGACTAACAGAATGAGAAATGCTTACCTAAAAATGACAAACACACCCTAGCTGGTTTGGCTCAGTGGATAAAGCATCAGTCTGCGGACCAAAGGGTCCCGGGTTCAAATCCGGTCAAGGGCATGTACCTTGGCTGCAGGCTCCTCCCTGGCCCCGATCCTGGTCAGGGCTCCTGCAGGAGGCAACTAATCAATGATTTCTCTCACATCAATGTTTCTCTCAGTCTCTCCCTCTCTCTTCCATTCTCTCTCAAAATCAATGGAAAAATATCCGCGTGGGTGAGGATTAACAAAAAATAAATAAATAAAAGTGATTAAATGTAAAAAAAAAAAAAAAAAGACGACAAACACACACAGGGCAAAGCATGGGCTTTTACCTGAGGGCGTCAGCACCATATTTATGGATGATGGAAAGTGGATCTGGATAATTCTTTTTTCGTTTGCTCATTTTCTGGCCATCACTTGAAAAACAAAAGTCAATGTCACAGTTTATCTTTATATATGGTTACAGCTATTTTCAACTGGAACACATAAATGCAAAGGGCATACAGCCAATGTTAAAGTACAACAATAAAGCTGTCTGTCAGTATCTGTAAGCTTCTTTTTAAATACTGTGTTGAATCAACAGAGAAGCTTCAGGAGAGATGAAGGAAGACATTATAGTGTAACAGTTAAAAATACAGATGAGGCATTTACCCTACAGAAATGAAAATCTATAGTGACACAAACCTTACAACAAACTTGACAGTTTTATTCATTGTCAGAAACACTGGAAACAACTCACTTGAGCAGGTGAAGAGTCAAACTCTGGGTCACCCACATGCTCAGAAAAGAAAAGGAAGGAACCAGATACACAAGCCCCCCAGGACCCTCCAGTGAGTAACACTGAGCAAGAAAAGCCAATCCCAAAAAGTTATACATGGTAGGATTCTATTTACATAACAGACTTGAAATGATACCATTTCAGAGATGGAGAACAGATCAGTGGTTGCCAGGGGTTGGGGAGGAGGCTGAAAGGGCAGGAGGATGTGGCTGTAGTTATGAAAAGGTGTTCAAAGGGAAGGATGTTCAAAGGGAAGGAAACTGGGAAAACTCAAAAGGGGCCTCTGTAATTTTTCACAACTGCATGCAAATCTACAATTCAATAAAAATTTCAACTGAAAATGTGAAAGCACAGCCTGTACAGCCAGACTGCCTGGGTACTTGAACTTACCACTTATTTATTGTGTGACTTTGGGAAAGTTACTTAATTTTCCTGAACCTTAATTCCTCAAATGTCAAAAGAGCTATGGGGATTAAGTGTGTGAAGATGTGTAATAGCTCACAACAGGGCCTACTGCCACGCCCTCATTGCACATAAAGCTGGGCACCTACGTAAATATTCGTAGTTTCTTATTTTTATTTATGTTTTACTTTTAATAACTTGAGGAAGTACAGGGAAAAGAAGAATAAGACTCCTATGCAATACTAGAAACCTCTATAACCTGTAACTTCCTCATGTTAAAAATAAGACAACAAAAATCTATACTAAAGGTCCAGTGTACAGATTAAATATGAGCTATAAGCAAAAGAACTTCATGAAATTCTAAAAACACACACACATTATTTTATCACTAGGAGATCCCAGAAAAGACCTCCCCTTCCATTAGGCTGAGCTCTCAACCCAGCCCTGCTTCCGAAGACAGAGGGGAGTGGGTGGGAGACGGAACGCAAAAGATGGACAAGTGCACAGGAAAGGAGTGGGATGAAAAGAGCAGCAACATGTAAAAAGCAGAGAAGAAATAGTAGGAACAGAGGGGGGCATTCCTGAATTCCTCTATTCACAAAGGAAGGTTAGGGGAACGGAGAACCTTGTCATTACACAAGAATGCACCTGCCTTGCAAGGACGAGCCCATTCACAATCACATTCCTGAAAGGTGGTTGTCCAAAGAGAGCTGTGGCCAGCACCAGCAGAGTGTAAAACCTGGAAAAAATGTCAAAATAAAGAGTTAAGAAACAAAACAAGAACCGGAAAAGAAACCCAGCATAGGGAAAAACTGTGTTTACTTGTTGAACTGAATTTCTACTTTGGATCTGTTATCCTTCTTGATAACCACATAAAGCAAAGGTTCTTAATTCTGATGACTTATTAAGTCATGTCAGGATCACTGAAAAAAATTACACACAGGACCCACTGCGGAGCAGCCCCTGATCAGAAAATGAATTGCTTTATTGAAAGTGAATAAAGGCCTGGAGCCAGGTGTTGACCCAGTTGAGGACAGCACCATCACTCTCCTCGGGAAGCCAGTTGGACAGCTACAAGGCAGAGAAGGTCAGAGAGGGCTGGTTTCTCAGGACCTCCCCAAAAGACAAAACTGAAAATCAAGAGATATCACCTTTAACACAGGGCCATATGAGAGTCGTATGACAAAAAACAAATAAACAAACCTCTCTCCCCACCAAAAACAACATCTCTCTCATTCAAAAGTCAAAAGATAGATGACAGGAGCAGAGGCAGTTTTTATTCTGTTGGTCAGATATCAAATATGTCGTTTATTTTGCTTGCTAGCTTATTCCCTAAAAGAACTGCATCACATCCCTGTAAGCTGTCCTGATAGTGAGGCTCTTGTCACCTCTAATCTGATTTTGAGAACATCCCAGGACATGAACTGATGAGGGTGGAGACCAGACCCCATGGCTAACATGAACACCTGACAAGACATCCCATTCACTAAGGACTGCTAACAGTTGCCAGATGTCACCACTCCTCTGAGAAACTCCCTGGGAAGAGGAGTTTGTGCCTGGTACTGTTCCTACAGATAAATGGATTGGAAGCTGAAAATAGCACATCCCAAAACATTAGGCTGGAATTTAATCAGTTTGTGATGACTCCTGCAATTTGTAAAAGCAGAAAACACCACCAAAATTCCTTAAACAACTGTAAAACCATTATTAATGAAAATATAATTAGAACCTGGGCCAACCAAGATCATCCACAAAAAGAAGGTAACTTTTTTATAATTAAGAGGGCAAAGGTATGGTTTTAAATAAGGCACCAGATAAAACCAATACTCAAATCCTCTCCCCATGATCTTTTAAAATCTAGATTTTTTTGAATGTTAATTTTGTAAAGCTAGTCTAACATCTAAGCACATTTCCAAGCATCCCTTTTTGCATTTGTAGTACCTCACTCTTTATCCTGTATGTACTAGTAAATACTCATTACACATTTGAGTAAATGATTTGAAATACACAAGCTATGATCATCACACATTAAGTGTTTTTTATCACATTTCCAGTGAAACAAATCTCTATACTCCAAGATGTCAGTGAAATAACTGAAACTCTAAAACTACAGCCTACCATGGGAGAGACGCATATTCAAGACACTAACGGGTTGCTTGGTATGAAGAGCAGCGGGCAGGAGAGCCTCTCTCCCTAACACAGTCTTCCCTGCACATAGCTGATAAAGACCAGGTGCTCAGTAAAGTAGCTGCTAAATAAAATGAAATCAACAAAACACTTAAAAGAACAAAAAAACATACCATCCTCTGGTTTGATCAATGCCTTCAGCAATGAAGTCTGCAGGAAATGCATCTTCAAACTCCTTCTTATTTTCAAATGGATAATGAACTTGAGCATAGGGCATGCTGCCACTCTCAAACCAACAGTCAAACACTTCAGACACGCGACGCAGCAATCCCTTCCCACAGCGTGAAGGAATGGTCAGATGGTCAATGCTAATAAACAAAAACGTGCCATTTCTATTAATTTTAAGCACAACAGAACTTGCAGTTTAATTGCCAGTAGGAAACACAATCTCCTGAAAGCTCTTCATACGAACAGAAATACTGGCAATTATCACAGGCTTTCAGAGAGCATCAGGAGTGCTCGACCTAGAAGGCTGTATACCAGAGGCCCCTGCCATCTAACGCAAGGACAGAAGCCACCCCTCCTCATTATGACACACGTTATCAACAATGTAATTCAGCACACTAGAGTTTGATTTCTATATGCAGCTCTAGGATCTGCTACAGAGACCACATCTTAACACACTGCGGACAGATCACGAGAATTCTTGCTTCATATTACAGTGCTTTACAAAGTACCATACTTTAAAAAGAGATTAGCTTGTAAGAATAATAAATAACTTCAAAATGCAATGGGTATTTAATTTTAAAGCGTGCCTTTAACATTTATGTAAAACGTTTTTTGTACTCGTTCAATAGAAACTTATCTGGCCACTGGGTGAAGCTAGCAGTGAAACTACTGGTCTGCAATGTGTTAATAGGCTAAACCAATGGTCGGCAAACCGCAGCTCGAGAGCCACATGCGGCTCTTTGGCCCCTTGAGTGTGGCTCTTCCACAAAATCTCACGTGTGGGCGCACATGTACAGTGCGATTGAAACTTCGTGGCCCATGCGCAGAAGTCCGTTTTCGGAAAGGAGATAGACGAAACAAGTATACAAGACGAGTGTGGATGGGAGAGTTGGAAGGGGTCGACCTCAGCGAACGTACCTTAATCAGATTGAGGACATTTTTAGCAAAGGCCAGCTTAGGAGTACCCTAATTAAGTTAATAACAATGTACCTACCTATATAGTTTAAGTTTAAAAATTTTGGCTCTCAAAAGAAATTTCACTCATTGTACTGTTGATATTTGGCTCAAGCTCTGAATGACAGAACTGACATGAATCACACACTTAGAAACTGACCTCTCTCTGTGGAGATCTGAGATCTTTGTTCCTGACAGTTCTTCAAGTTCTGCCATTGACCCAATGCATACTATCTGTCAAAACAAAGTTAAAAAGCAGGAGTGCTGCAGAGGCAAAGATCAGAGTTTATTTCTGTAACATTCCTATTTAGTTTTAGAGACCTCTGATCTTCAGGACAGTTACCACCAAAATGGCTAACCCTCAGGAAAGACAGGTCACTGTCTGAAGAAGTGAGCAGACTTCCCTTCCTTGCTACCGACCCCATATCAGAGGAGGCTCTACATGCAGATTTTCAACATTCACAGCCATCATCTCAACAAGCATTTTTTGAGGGTTTACTGTGTCCAAATCTGCAAAAATGACCAGCAGAAGTGAAATGCCTAGACCAGGGGTGGGCAACCTTTTTGTGAGTGCGTGCCAAAACTAGCAAAATCTCTGACTCAAAATTTTTCTGTGTGCCAACCCTAATTTTTTGAGAACATGTTACGCCTACTTGATATCTCTTAAGGTGTACGTATGTGAAGAATCTTGAAGAAATAATAAAATTCATTCAAGCGACAAAAACACAGTATATGATGATGAAAAATACATTTATTTTTTAATGTATACATGTTATGTAAAATTATTTATTTATCTAAGATGCACCTACACTGAATTTATCTGAAAAATGAAGAAGTCGGTATTAAGAAAAAAACTGTAAATGAAAGATTATAAGAGAGGGTTTCATGTGCCAGCAAAAGTTACTGGCATGCCATGTTTGGCACGTGTACCAGGGGTTGCCCACCCCTGGCCTAGACTATTACTCTAAGCTAAGGCATCTTATTTTCTTCCTGGCACTTGAATTTGATTCTTTAAGCTGGAATCTTCTGAAGTGAAAGCTAGAACTAAATTATTGTGCCGAGTCAAAATAGTCCTACTGCAAGATGTTAGAATTATGTCCGGGTAAGGAGGCTGAGATGGGCCCACTGAGGCGCTCCCAAAGGAAGCCATCTGACAGGGCTGCTGGGGCTTCTCCGCTACCTGGAGGCACCCTGGTCTCTTTCCTCGTCCTCCCTAACTGGTCCTGAAAAGCCTTGATTCAGCCACACTGGAAATTTACTGAGGTCCCTGGGCTGCTGTGGCTCATGATGGCTCTAATGCTCTCAGCTTTCAGTGATGGACAGAAAGCCCCATCAAGGGAATACATCTAAAGTCCTACATATAACATTTACATAGACCTAAACTCATATACAATCACTTGGTTTTGTAGGTTAAAGGTCTGCAATGCTTGGGTAAATTTTTTTCAATCTTCCTTTTCCGTCACTATAAGTTGGGCTTAACATGCTATGACTTAGTGCAGAGTATCTGTTCTGTTCATAAATAACTCACAAGAAGAAACAGAGATATGAGCAACACAAACAACTTAATGTGTGGCTTCCCTGAGAAAAATGGAAATTACATTCACTTTTACACAAAGGGAAATTGTTAAAAATTGCATTAGAGTCAAAATAAAGTTAAAGCTCTAAAAACATTCTTACTTATGTTATTATTATAGGAAGGAATGAGAAAAAGATGAAATAAGGGGCAAAAAAAAAAAAGAAAGAAGCCATATTCTTCTACCTCATATTCAGATGGAACGAATGAACAAAGGGCCTCAATAAAAATCAACACATGAAAGCGCCACAGCCTCACCTCCTCGAAGTCCTCGCTGACCCACAGTGGGATGGGGGTGCCCCAGTATCTGTTTCTGGAAATGGCCCAGTCTCGTGCATCTTTCAGCCAATTTCCAAACCGCTTTTCTCTCACAAACTCCGGGACCCTGGATGAGCAGGTCAGACACCAAATCACCTGAGAACATTACTGAGTAAATCTGTGAAGGGCACCTGCATAGGCTTTGTGGACCAGACACCCTGGAAACGCTGAGCTCACTACTGAGAGGTGGTTTTCTGCATGGGCAGCACCAGATGGCCCACAGTGGCAGCACCTGCTGTGAATTCATCCCAGTGAAGATGGCTCTTTAGTAGAAAACATCACCGCACCCAGGCTTCCCTCCCCTGGCCTCCCCTGGGGGATGGCCATAGTCCTCTGAACAGTCACCACGTGCTAGCTAGCCTGGCCCCGCTCCTATTTAGTTTCTGGGTCACCCACACAACAGCGCTTTATTTAATTGTAACTCACTGGCGTGGGAACCAATCACCTAGAAAATAAGAGTCCGGACAGGTAGGGTATTGGTAGCTGGCTGGTAGATGCCTTCCCAGGCTCACCTGCACATTGTACATTAGGCTCCAGAAATGAGGCAAGTTCCTTAAATGCGCTTCTCACCTCAATGCCTTCGCTAGTACTATCCCTCCTCTGTGATAACCTTCACCTGGCAGAACTCCCATCAACAACTCCTCCCCCAAATTTTTATTGTCTCAGATTGATAAATGGCACCTATCCTTTGAGGTTCAGCTTTGCAGAAAAACTTAACAAGTTTAAGACCAATAGGGTCCCCTAGTCCTGTATCATAGATGGCAGTTTATAGGCTGGCACCTCCCACAGGACACCCAGACTACGAATATTCCATACCTAGCACATCACACATTAGGAGAACTAAGGAGCGTTCGAGGTATAAAAATGAAAGAACAGCTTTTACTTGAGAAATCAGAGTCACTTCGCTGGAAAAAAAACACAAAAGCTATAGCCACTTTCTTTTACTGCCCTGAGATGCTCCCCATTCTTCCAAAATCAAATGCAGTCTTTAAGTTCTTATGGGGAGTGAAAAAATAGTGATTACCCTCCAAACTCTCAGTGAAAAACATACTTTTGCTATACATAAATCCAGTCTTACTTCATTTTTGTAACAGTTGAGTAACACTTTTTTTATGACTAGGTATTAGCTAAGAGCTTTTGTCCCCTCAGTGCAGCCAGCCTGAACAAGACCATCACAGTGTGGGAACTCAAAAACTATCAAAAGTAGTACAGCTGATCCTTGAACATGTGTTTGAACAGCAGGAGTCCAATTATATGCCAATTTTCTCACGTGACCCACGCAGTTCAAACCCGGGTTGTTTATGGTCAACGCCAAGGCTGGGAAATCACAGATGTGGAGAGCCGACTGTTACACACGGATTTTTGACGAGGCAGAGATTCGTGCCGCCAACTCCAGTGTTTTTTAAGGGCCAACTGTCATCATAAATGGCTTTTGTGGATATATATCCAAAAACAAATGTTTACCCTGAAAATGACTATTATTTACGGCTAATGAACAATGAGAGTACAGCCAGATGTTTTTCAGTCATCCCATTCTGTAAAATGAATAAACAGCAGTTTCTCATTTCCATTTGGCCTTTAAAAAAAAGTAAAAATACTCTATATGCCTTATAATAAAAAAAATGGTACTTTGTTATATCTTATTTAAATTGTTTTGTGTTCCTAAAAAGAAATAAAAATAGATGTTACTACAATATACAATAAATGATGGCTACTAAAATTATTGATCTGGGGGAGTGTAAACCAATACTTACTAACTGCATGACAAAGAACATTCTGAAGACACACATCTTACTGCTCACCAGTAACACAGGTCATTGTTCCTCATCAGCTGGTCCACCATGTGCTCAACCCGCACAAACCAGCTGGGCACCGCTTTGTAAATGAGGGGGGTATCTGATCTAGAAAAGCAGAAATGGAGGTGCGGCTGGTCAGAAGGTGTGCAGGCACCCAGGACAACCACCTTTAGTGTCTCACTTATGTCACCACCACCTACTTGGCCTTCTGCAAAAGTAATGTCTACATTACTTTTGAGCTCCTGAAATCCTAATTTTCTGGGTGACAAGAGTGTCTTTTCTTCTAATGTGCTTCTGTGTGGGCCCTTGGATGGGTGCTGGTCACTGGAAAGATGAAGCCATGATAGCTTGGAATTCCAGTCCTGTCTCCATCCTCCTGAGAAGGGAGAAGGGCTGACAATAGAGCTAATGGTTGATCATGACTTTGTGGTGAAGCCTAAAATCTTAAAAGTACGGGGGCTGAATGGTTTCCAGGTTGATAAATGCATCCATGGGAGGGTGACACTCCCCAACTCCACGGGACACATGATAATGCTCACAGGACCCTCCCAGACCTCTCCATTAGGCTGTTTACCTGCATCCTTCAATAAATGTGTTTCCTGGAATTCTGAGCCTGACTAGCAAATTAATTGAACCCATCCATGGAGGGATCAGATGGAACCTCTGAACTAAAGCCAGTCCGTATATCAGGGATTAATCTTTGGGACCTGATGATGCCTCTAGGACAGTGGTTCTCAACCTTCCTAATGCCGTGACCCTTTAATACGGTTCCTCATGTTGTGGTGACCTCCAACCATAAAATTATTTTCGTTGCTACTTCATAACTGTAATTTTGCTACTGTTATGAATCGTAATGTAAATATCTGATATGCAGGATATATTTTCATTGTTACAAATTGAACATAATTAAAGCATAGTGATTAATCACAAAAAACAATATGTAATTATATATGTGTTTTCCGATGGTCTTAGGCGACCCCTGTGAAAGGGTCGTTCGACCCCCAAAGGGGTCGTGACCCACAGGTTGAGAACCGCTGCTGTAGGTAGATGGTGTCGAATTGAATTAAATTGTAGGACACCCAGCTGGTGTCACAGAGAATTGAACTGCTTGGCATGGGGAAAAACATCCACAATACTGAAAAATGTCACAGTGAAGTGTTTTATATAAGTTGTAAAGAAGATCACAAGATAAAGAAATAAGTAGGACCCGGTCAGCATGGCTCAGTGGTTGAGTGTCGACCTATGAACCAGGTCACAGTTCGATTCCCAGTCAGGGCACATGCTCGATCCCCAGTGTGTGGCGAGCAGGAGGCAGCCGATCAATGATTCTCTCTCATCAACAATGTCTCTCTCGCTCTCTCTCTCTCTCTCTCTCTCTCTCTCTCTCTCTCTTCCTTCCTCTCTAAAATACATAAAAATGTATTTAAAAAAAAAACAAGAAACAAAGTAGGGAAGAAATAGGTTTTTTCTTTCTTCTCTGTGTCCGTATTCCTAACACAACTCCTGAGAAAAGAAATAACTGTATGCATTCATAACATTCTCCTTGGAGCAAGAAGGCAGTATCCAAACACAAGCTCTAAAGAATACAAATGAGATAGAAACCACAAACTGATGGAGTGGCACAAACATAAGTGTACGCACAAATCGAAAGCTCTGGCTAAAACAGTCCCCTCCTCACCTCCAGCAGAAAGGGTAGCTATGAGTGAAGGTGCTGGCAACAAGAAGTCGGCCTTGTTCCTTCAGCATCCTGATGATATTTTTGTCAGCATCCTGTTAAAAAATTAAAATGTAGCTACTGAAATATCCTCCAGTATTTAGTAGCATAATATAATTGAGTATTTATTACTAAAATCTGGTATTTGGATACCTTTACTATGAGTAAAAGGCACAAATAACAAATGTATTATATAAATAATGCATCTATATTTTAGCCACCATGTAACTGCATGGACTTTTAAAATACATGCCATATCATTAAGGTAGTTCAGTTTTCAATCAGCAATGACTACTCCAAGGTCACAACGTTGCTTCATGAGTCACCAGACAGAGCCCATTTTTCCCAACTCCTTTAAACTACAGCCTGCTTCCTCTGAAGATACTAGACGCTCGAATGCAGCTGATAATATCTGTCTACCTGTACTGCTTTTATGTGCGGAAGCAAAACAAAACAGAAGCAGCTTCCTAAAAAAACAAAAAAAACAATCCAAGATGTGGAAGCTTTTTGATAAAAACTGATGAATAAAAACAGTCCAATGAAACCGAGACCTTTGTATGCCTTATAGTCACAGACCTTCACATACTGTCCCATGAAATCTGTCACTTCCGCTGTGAAACAGCCTGAAGCATCCACAGGGCACACAGGGACAGAATCTTTCTGAATGATGTTGAAGTCCATACAGACCCGATAGTCATCCTGGGGCGAAAGGAGAGAAGAATAAAACAGTTCAAGTGTATGAGGAGATAGTGCAGTTTTCAATCAGCAATGACTACCCCAAGGTCACAAAGTTGCTTCATGAGTCACCAGTCAGAGCCCAGTATGAGGGAGGTTTACAGGAATAATTTTCTGTATTCTGATACATACCTCTAATCAACTGCAATTATCCTCTCAACTAAAGTTAACTCAAAGACCGCACAGAGATTAACAGAGCATTATAGTTGCGGAGGATTAACATCTAGCCTAGTCTAACCAGACATTATTTCACAGACCCCTACACATATGAGAGTATCTATCCACTAAGTGAGATGACATATCCAATCTAATAACAGACAAAGATGCAAACTGACCGTACCTTTCCAACACCCACCATGGGCTAATCAGAGCGATATGCAAATTAACCACCAACAAAGATGGCGGCTAATTTGCAAATGCTGGCTGGGAGCGAAGACTGAAGACACTGTAGAAGGCAGCCAAGCAACGGAGCCTAGGTAGTGGAGACAGGCGGGAGAGAAGGGACAGAGAAGGGCAGGGTAGGAGCGGCAGAGACGGGAGCGAAGCCCTATTCTTGCAGGAATCTTCCTGCAACAGGCCTCTAGTAAGTATATTAAAACTAATTAAACTTGACTTATAACACCAACTTGTATGCACATACATGTTATCACCAAAACAGAAGCACATACAGGTGTAAGGCATGACCTATTTAGTCCTGCATGACACTTGGTATGCATATGGATTTGCACCCTGTCGAGGGGCAACTGAGAGATCACAACACTGAGCATCACTCACCTAGATTACCCACAATGCTTCAGGAATACATTTTGAGCAGTGTGAATTAGAGCAAACTTTTATGTAACGCTGGATCACACAGTGCTCTGACATTTTACTACTTAGCTCGTTTAAGTTTCACCACTGTGAAGAAGACTGACTGGCACAGTTTAACCAGGTGTTCCCCTTGCAAAAACCAGCAACTATCTCCACTGAACAGACGAGGAAGCTGTAGCAATGCTCCCGTTCAACACCAAACAGCCTGGCTCCACAGTCCAAAGTCTTTATTGTGCTATGTTGCCCAAATCTAAAAAGGATTGTCTTAGGGTTAGATGGAGAAACCATACTCTGTTTGAATCCAAAACAAGATGGAAAGCCAGTATGTTCCCACCTGGCCTTGTGTTCTGAGGGGTTCCCTAGTGATGAAACATGTGGGTACCTGCCCATAAAGGAAGCCCGGAAGCCCGGCAATTTGAAATATTTAGTAGAGACACATCCAACTTGACTAGCTAAGAACAGCATTCCCGAATGGAGCCAGAAAGACAGGTCACGGTTATGCAGAAGTATGACTCTGCAGAGGCCACATAGTGTCTCACCTGGCAAATTGCCACAAGGGAGGGCTCTCAGAGGATCTCTACCAAATGGGGTTTAGAGGCTGCAGTTCAGAGATCTGATCTTCTATAACATTAATCTGCCGGGCATTCAGGGCAGATACATAAGGTACAGTATTACTACAGGAAATGACAAATAGTCATGTACAGTTAATGTAAATTATTATATTAATATCAGGTGCACACCTCAGTGATGAGACATTACATAACTAAGTCCTGACAAATCTCCCACCCATCTGACACCATAGTTATTCAGGTATTATGGACTACATATTCCCTATGATGTACTTTACATGCCCAGGACTATTCTGTAATGAACAATTTGTACATTTTTTAAAAAATATTTTTTTATTGCTTTCAGAGAGGAAGGGAGAGGGAGAGATAGAAACATCAATGAGAGAGACATATCGATCAGCTGCCTCCTGCACGCCCAACACAGGATCAAGCTTGCAATTCGGGCTGTGCCCTGACTAGGAATCGAACCCGGGACCTCTTGGTCCATGGGAGGACCCTCTCCCATCTGGCAACCAACAAAATGTTCTCTGTGTTTATAAGACTGTTTCTGCTCTGCCTGTTGGGTTTTTTAGATTCAATTGTTGATATGGATTTATTGCCATTTTATTGTTCATAGTTTTTTCTTTTACTTCCTTCCTTTTCTTAAAGACCCTTTAACCTATCATGTAATACTGGTTTGGTTGTGATGAACTCCTTCAGCTTTTTCTTGTCTATGAAGCTCTTTTATCTGTTCTTTAATTGTAAATGATAGCTTTGCTGGGTAGAGTAATCTTGGTTGTAGGTTCTTGCTATTCATCACTTTCCTCTGGCCTGCAAAGTTTCTGCAGAGAAATCAGATGACAGTCCTGTGAGAGCTCCCTTGTAGTTAACTGACTGCTTTTCTCTTGCTGCTTTTCAGATTCTGTCTTTGACCTTTTGTGTTTTAATTATGATGAGTCTTGGTGTGGGCCTCTTGTATTCATCTTGTCTGAGACTGCACTTCCTGCACTTGTATGTGTATTTCCTTCACCAGATTAGGGAAGTTTCCTGTCATTTTTTAAAAAAAATAGGTTTTCAATTTCTTGCTCTCTCTTCTTCCGGCACCCCCACGAAGCAAACATTGATACACTTGAAGTTGTCCAACTCTCCTTACACTATCTTAATAATTTTATATTTTTTTCTTTTTGCTGTTCTGATTGGGAGTTTTTTGCTTCCTTCTATTCCAAATCACTGATTTGATTCTGGGCTTCATCGACTTTCTTGTTGATCCCGTTACTTATTCTTCATTTCAGTTGGTGTCATCTTCTGACTGGTCCTCTTTTATGTTGATGAGGTTCTTACTAAGTTCACTGAGCATCCTTATATATAGATTGCTTGTCACTCCTTTGTCTACTTCTTTTTCTGAAGTTTTGTTATGCTCTTTCCATTGGGACATGTTTGTCTCCTTTTTTTTGGCTATCTCCCTGTGTTTGTTTCTATGTGTTAAATAGAGCTGCTATGTCTCTCAAGCTTGGTACAGTGGCCTCATGTAGTAGGGGTTCTGTAGGATCCAGCAACACAGCTTCCCCTATCACCCAGGCTGGGCCCTTGAGGTGTACCTTGCCCCTGCTGTGGGGCTGTGCCACCATCCTCTTATAGTTGAGCCTTGATTGCTGTTGGCATGTCAATGGGAGGGATTTATCCCCAGGCTGATCAGCTGCAAAGACTGGCTGTGACCACAGACCAATAACCTCTAATTGTAGGATCAGCTGTGTAGGATACCACCCCAAAGAGCAGGACTTACTTTAATGGGGCTCTGGTGTCTGCTGAGTCTACCCCTTGAGTGTGTTGCTTGTGGAGGTGGTTGGGTGGTGGTGCTTTGACGTGGTCTGAAGGTGTCCACTGGGTGTGCTGGCTCTGGGGCTTCCCAGGAGGTACAGGCCAAGGTCAGCCACTGCCTGTGTTCTGCCTGGGACCATCCAGTATGAGCTACAAGGTTATTTGCAGTTGGCTGCTACTTGTGCTGGGCTTAGACGTGCCCAGGTAAAGTCAAGCTGCTGGAAACCAAGGTCGACTACTGCTAGTGCCAGGGCTTGGGGCCACTTCGTGAGAGGTATGGGGCACACTGAGGTCAGATGCTGCTTGAGAGACTTTAGGGAGTTCTTAAGCATGAGCCAACATAGGCTTTTGGTATGAATAAGCCACTGGAAACCGCTTGGGTAGGCCTGGAAAATCACCAGGTCTGGGGAAACAGTGATAGCCAGGCTGAGACAGAGTCTCAGAGATGATGCCTGCAAGGCTCTGTGCCGGGAGGGTTCATCAAAGGAACACTGGCCTCAGCCAGCACCTCTGTCTTGAAAAAAGCTGCCCCCACAGCTCTCACCCCAATGACAGACCCATTTGTTTCTGCTGTCTTTCAAACTGCTGCCCCAGTGCTGAAGATCACAGAGAATGAGGCTGACTAAGTCCACGCATGGGCCCTTTAAGAGTAATAGGTGGGGGTCTAGCTGCCTTAGTCTCCCTTAATTCCAGCTGGTTTTCACAGCCAGAAGTTATGAGGACTGGCACTAGAACCATAGGCTGGGAGGTCTGGTGAGGGGTTGAGAACTCCTCAGGGCGGGACCTCTGCAGATGAGATATCCTTCCCAATTTTTATCTGCCACATGGGGAATGGGACCAGCTGGCCTGAACCTCCACCCCTCCTACTATCTGGGTGTAGCTTCTACTCTAGTTGTAGGACTCCCATCCAGCTAGACTTCAGGTGGTTCTGAAGTTTAGTTCTAATTTTGGTGTGGTTGTGGCAGGAGATGAATAGAGCTCCCACCCAATTTGAATAGTGAACAGGTTCTAGGTGATATTAAAAAATCATTCATTTTACTGGGTTCAACATTAGCATGGTGGTTATAATAAAAATAAAATGCCTTGTGCTGGCCAGGTGACTCAGTTGGTTGGAGTGTATACCAAAGGTTGTGGGTTCAATTCCCAATCAGGATGTATACAGGAGGCAATCCAGCTGTTGTTCTCTCTCACATCAATGTTTCCCCCCTTCCCCTATCTCTAAAAATCAATAAAAACATGTCTTTCGGTGAGGTTTAAAAAAATAAATAAACAAATATAGAAAAATAAAATTTCTTGTCAATCAGAGATGTGTACAGATATTTAGGATCTGCTCCAAAACTGTCCAGTCAAATTAAAAGCATGAGGGAAGGTGAGGGATTAAGTAGATAAAACAGAATTCCCAAAATGTTGATAATATAGATGGATGATATAAACATAAGGACTTATTATCTTTACTTCTCTCACTCCTATCACTGACAAAATGATCAAGCTGAGAGGAGTCTGTAGGGCCCAGTGCATGCGGCACTCGCAGCAGTGAGAGTGTACACTCTTTGAGCGTCACAAACTATAGAAACACTCTCTATAGAAAGATTCCATTTAATCCTTCCAGGTCTCCAGACAGGCAGGTAGTAACACCCTGTTACAGGAAAGGAAAAGAAACTCTAGAAAGGTCAACCAATTTATTGCAGAGCTTTGACTTAATGTGAGTTCTGGTTTGCTCTAAAACATGTGCCCTTAATCCCTATACTCTTTTATTCATATACAAATTACATTAAAAGAATTACATTTTGAAAAAAGAAGAAATAAAAGGAAAGAAAAAGAAGGAAAAGAAAAAGAAAATTAAAGAAAAAAGGATTACATTTTCAGAAAAATTACTTTGGACAAAATTTAAAATTCAGCACACTCTCCCACCTTGAAAAGAGAGGTCAAATTCTCCCTTCTGAACGTGCAGTATTTAGTGAACAGCACTGCAGAGGTGATGGGAACCTTGATTTATCAAGTGACTGTGTGACTGCATGCCCTCATCAAAACTCACAGAACTGCACATCATAAAGAGCAAAGTGTCACCCTGGCCGGTTTGGCTCAGCCTGAGGACTCAGGGGTCCCAGGTTCGATTCCGGTCAAGGGCATGTACCTTGGTTGCAGGCACATACCCAGTGGAGAGAGTGCAGGAGGCAGCTGATCGATGTTTCTCTCTCATCAATGTTTCTAACTCTCTATCCCTCTCCCTTCCTCTTTGTAAAGAATCAATAAAATATATTAAAAAAAAGAAAAAAAAGAGCAAAGTGTCATGTAAATCAAATATGAATGAATCAAAACACAGCATGCCTTTGAAGACCAAATGTCCTTAGCCCACCATTTTAAGAAATCAGCTCAGGGTGAAAAGACATTGCAGACACAAGTTTTATAAGCTTGAAAAGAGGTTGACTGGTGGGTATCCAACAGTGGTGACCAACACAGAAAATGCATGCACACAGGCAAACACACATACACAAGACAACGACTCAGTGGCCACTGACATTTCTTTCTTATAACATTGGTAAGATATATACTACTCACAGCACCAAAGTAAGGAGCTTGATGTACCACCCCAGTGCCTTCTTCCTCCCTCACATAATTGTCGACAAGCACTGTAAAGGCGCCATGCTTTTTCCACTGGAAAAGAAATGATGACAAGATTAAACGATGAAACAATACCATATCATAATATGATCACCATTTTTAGAGCCTGAAAAAACTTTTAAAATGAAATTATTTTCAGGGATGGAAATGGCAATAATTCATACTGGAAAGAAACATGCTAATTCTATACATCACATGAATAATTCATCCCTAATAAATAATTATCTGAAGTGGCAGAAAAAAATGTCCAACTTTTTTAGTGCAAAAACTGGGGCTTTTCATTATTTCTCCTGGACTGAACCCCTCCCCGCAGTATGCTGTTTATCATAGTCTCAGAAAACATACTCCTCAAATTATTCCCGTCCTGGTACATAGTTAACCCTTGAACAATGCAGGGCTTAGGGGCACCAATCTCCATACAGTGGAAAACTGAGTGTAACTTTTGACGCTACAGTTGGCCCCTCCCATCCTTGAATTCAGCCAACCATAAATTGAAAACTGTATTTTCAATCTGCAGCTGGGAATGCAAAAAACTGTTATCTATTCATGGTTGGTTAAATAAAATACATGTATAAGTGAACCGGGGCCTTGTTGAAGGGTCAACTGTATTTTCAATCACTGCATACACTTTGCTTCTCTTTCTCCTTCCAGTCCAGCTCAAGTTATTCAGCAGTAAAAGGCAAACCTTTAAAGAAATGAGGGGAAGGACAAAGAGCTACAAGTTCTATCTCAGCCATGGGCAAACTACGGTTCGCGGGCCGGATCCGGCCCGTTTGAAATGAATAAAACTAAAAAAAAAAAGACCGTACCCTTTTATGTAATGATGTTTACTTTGAATTTATATTAGTTCACACAAACACTCCATCCATGCTTTTGTTCCGGCCCTCCGGTCCAGTTTAAGAACCCATTGTGGCCCTCGAGTCAAAAAGTTTGCCCACTCCTGTTCTATCTTCTATTTGCAGACATTCTACCCTCAGAGGGGAAATGTTTCCAATTTCACTTCATTTGTAACAACAATAAAGTTAGGTTAGTACATATAAAGCTACAGACTTACTTTTTCTACTTCATCTCTTAGTATTTCTTTTCAGAAGCCCTTTGTTTTAGCCCAACTAAAACCCCTTTGCTTTCTTACCTTTCTGCGTTTGCAAAAAGTACGTTCAGAAATGATTTTCACAATTAAACCTACACTGCTATGAAAATGTATTAGTATTTCCATGTTTTAAAAATATTCTGGTTGTGCCTTAGCTGGTTTGGATCAGCGGATAGAGCGTCGGCCTGCAGACTGAGGGGTCCCAGGTTCGATTCCGGTCAAGGGCACGTACCTGGGTTGCGGGCACATCCCCAGTAGGGAGTGTGCAGGAGGCAGCTGAATCGATGTTTCTCTCTCGTCGATGTTTCTAACTCTCTATCCCTCTCCCTCTCCTTTCCTCTCTGTAAAAAATCAATAAAATATATTAAAAAAATATTCTGGTTGCATTTGTATTTCACAGTGAACCCAGAACAAAGCTGATGAAGTGGTTTGCCTAATCACACACTAGCAATGATGAAGCTAGGACCTGAAACAAGGCCTTCTGGTTCAAAATACAGCACAAGGGCATCACAGCTCTTTAACTGTTGGCACTTGGTAAAAATAAACGTGACAAATAACTATAGACTTTCAATTGCTGTAACCTAACTCACCTGGAAATGTTTATGGTGTGGTGTGACAGGTACTGAGAGGTGTGTCTTCAATCATTTAAACATGGAGAGAACATGGGTGTCCTCAGAATCAGATGTAAGAATAGGGAACACAAAGGTATCTTGCTATTTATAACTGTATACCAAGAAACCCCACACTGCATTCCCATCTCTCTGGGTGCAGCTCTGGATCAAGGCCTGCTGAGGCTGGCCAGCAGTCAGCACAGAGCACTGGAGTGCTGCCCCCACATACTCTCACAGCTCCCATTTAATATTTCAGAGCATGTATATTTTATTTTTTAAAAAATATATTTTATTGATTTTTTACAGAGAGGAAAGGAGAGGGGGAGAGAGTTAGAAACATCGATGAGAAAAACATTGATCAGCTGCCTCCTGCACACTCCCTACTGGGGATGTGCCCACAACCAAGGTACATGCCCTTGACCGCAATCGAACCTGGGACCCTTGAGTCTGCAGGCTGATGCTCTATCCACTGAGCAAAACCGGTTAGGTCAGAGCATGTGTATTTTAGATATACAACAAATGATTTTGTCCTAATTCAAGGAATTTGTAGCTTTTGTCTAAAATTCACAGGAGGTCCCAGAAATTTCAGGAAGCTAACTGAATGAATCGGATAGGTCTTATTTATCATCTATGTACTGAATGCATATTCCACTGACTTAACCCAAAGCTCCTATCTAGAGTGTCCATGTGCATTTTCTGAGAGGGCTCAGCTTTCCTCGGGCTCTCAATAGGGCCTGTAATTCAGAAAGTTGAGAAGTCATTGACCTAATGGAAGAGTTTTAAGACAAAAACACATGAAATATGTTAAGATACATGAGAAAAGAATGCAATAATGGCATTCCGAGGAACACAACTAAGAGACACTTCAGAAAACATTGTTTTGCAGATGGCATCCAAGTTCAGCCTTGAAGAGTGGGTTATATTCGAGCATACAGGCCATTTCAGAAAGGTGAAGCAAATTTAAAAAGGAGAATCTAATGAAAAGAAAGGCAGAAAGGGGGGGGGGGGGGGAGAAAACCACGGCAGTTTGAGGCAAAAGATGTGTTAGGGGATGTGACTAGGAGGCAGGTCTGCCTCATGCCTAGTGGAGAGCACCCGGCGAGGAATGTGTTGGCAAACGAAACTACAGGCTCATAGGAAGGGACCAGACCAGGCAAAGCGTAGGGATAACCACCAGCAGCAACAAGTAATGAGGAAAAGGCCCCTAGTTAGGAGACAAGAACACGGGGAAGCACTCAAGGAAAGACACATGTGAGCAATATTGTGCAAAGAGTCCACAAGGCTGAGGTCATTTGTACCAACCAAACTCAACCCTTGCATTGAAAACAGAGATAAGCAGATGTTTTATCCTGGGCCGCAATGCAAGTTTTTTATGGCTAATGCTATGCCAAGCTGAATATATTTCTTACATAATATACAAAGCTAGGTCAGTTCTGAGGGCGCTGCTCATCATTTTACTCTAAGACAAGCATGTCAAATCATTGGATGACCAGCGGCCAGCGGGCTGCATGCCTCGTTTAAATAAAAGACATGCTTGTTCTAAGACCTATAAATGAGGATCAAGTCCTGCTGACCTTGTTGTTTTGTTGGTGGTTAGGTTTGCAACTATAGCTGCAAATTCTCTGTCAGAAAACGAAGACCACATAAAGCACCTTTATGATTCCTAAGAGAACTAAGTTACTAAATGTGTGAGCTTTGCGGTGGTGCCTAGATTTAAAGGACCCACCTAATCCATTTATTGGAAATAAATTCTGTTTACTTTTACACACAGTTTTATTCTGAGCATTATCCTAAATTTATAAAATAGCCAAAAACAATCCCTCACATTCCTTGGGAATATGCAGACCATAAACAATAAATATATACACAATAAATCTTATGAAATGTGACTTCTTATGCAATTTGAGAAAAGTATTTTTAAAATTATTAGTACAAGAAGGCAATACAAACAGAACTGAATCCTGTTAACACTAAAGTAGACTGCTTCAAGCACATTCATGGAAAAAGCAGAACAATCAGGCCATGTGAAGCCCACGCCGGCTACCATTACATTGGTCCAGTGATCAATACTACAGAGGGTGGTGGAGAGCACTGTGGTAGAGCTCCCTAAGCTCACCTTCACAAAATAGTCAAACAGGGGCCTGTACTTCTTGCCTTGGAGAGAGGCACCTGGAAATCTAGGGAAAAAAGGAGGAACGCAAACTCACAATTAGATTCAAATTATCAACGAAACTAGGTTGCACCCACATGAAGTCACTACTGCCTTAGGTTACCGAACAGACTAATACTTAAAATAGTACTTAAGTACTTAGTATTAAAAATGGTAATATACTTAAAGTTAAACTTGAAAAATATAACTTTTGGGTAATAAAGTGTCTTTTGATTTGTATATTTACCTTTCAAGGATCTCATAGTCACTCTCCAATTTGTAGAGGGCCGGTAATCTGGCTTCCATTAAAATGAATGATTTTCCTCTGACAACATCTACAAGAGCAACAGGAAAAGAGGACTTCAGTGACAGCCAGATCGTGGCTTACTCTAAAGACAAACCTCAGCTCAGCTCTACCACAGGCCACCGCAGGCCACCCAAACCAGCGTGCCCAGCACTCAGAGCAGCACTGCCGATAGGGCTAGCACACACTACTTTCTACATACATGACAAAGCATAAAAAGCAGCAGGCAGCTCAATTGTCATTAATTGCACCTCTAGCCATTTAAAGTGAATTAATCTTTATTTTCTCCTACCAAAGTTAATATATGTGAATGAGTCAAAGTCCTAACATTAACAAACCAAGAAGCTCACAAACACAAGCCCCTATAATATAAGTTTTCAGTATCTTGGTCACTCTCTTCTCCTTCTGGCACCCCCATGCGGATGTTAGTACGCTTGAAGTTGTCCCAGAGGCTCTTATACTATCTTCATATTTTTGGATTCTTTTTTCTTTTTGCTCTTCTGATTGGGTCTCTTTTGCTTCCTCATATTCTAAATCGCTGATTTGATTCTAGGCATCCTCTATTCTACTCTTGAATCCCTTGATTCAAGTAAAGAATAATAAATTCTTTGTAGCTCATGGATGTGTAGAGCTGTAATCTGGTGTGGTCTGAAGGTGGCCACTGGGCACACTGGCTCTGGTGTCACCTGGCAGGATCTACAGAAGGATCTGCAAATGGCTGCTACTTGTATTGGGCTTGGAAGTGCCCAGGAGAGGCCCATTGTGAAGCAAGGCAGGCTGCTAGTGCTGGGTCTCACTATGACTTCAGAGATTTTGGGAAAGTCTGAAGTGTGAGCCAGGACAGGTCATTCATATGGAAAAGCTGCTGCAAACAGTTTGAGTGGGGCTGCAAATTGGAATGTGCGGTGTCTTTGGAAATCACCAGGGCTGAGCCAGGAAATAACAGTGTGAGTAGGGCTGAAGGAAACTTCGATATGGCTGCCAGCTCTGAGATAGGGCACGTTTCAGCAGAGGAACAATGACCCCTGCCAGTATGCCTGTCTGGGAAAGCTGCCCCCAAATTCTTGCTCTGAGGTCAGACAATTCAATTCCTCCCTGTATGTCCCTGGATCCCTCCAAGCCGCTGCCCCAGGGCTCGGACTCAGAGGAAGCAGGTCAATGTAAGTTCGTGCACCGGCCCTTTAAGAGGGACTGCCTGGGTCTTCAGCAGCCTCCAGGTCACCCAGCTACAGTCCTCACTAGTTTTTAAAGCCCAAAGTTATGGGGACACATCTTCCCACTCTGGAACCCTGGGCTGGGAGTCTGGGACCCTCTGCTCCTCACAGGAGGCCTCCACAGCAAAGATATCCCTCCCAGTTAAAAAAAACAGCACACGTGAGTATCGGACCTGCCCGAGTAAAAGCTATTCTGGATCAAGTTGACTGTTATGAAAGGAGGAACTTCTTTTCTTTTTTTTTTATATGTAATGCTTCCCGAATTTGGGTGTCATCCTTGCGCAGGGGCCATGTTAATCTTCTCTGTATCATTCCAATTTTAGAATATGTGCTGCCGAAGTGAGCAATGGAATTTTTTTTTTCTGGCCTTGAGTTTTTCTTTTCTTTCCCTGGCTTCTTTCTTCCACTCTTAGACTTTCCTAAGTGATGAGAGCCATGCAGCCTACCCAAGTTCCATGGGAAAGGAAGCTGTGCTTGGGACTCTTCTAGACGTCACCTATGAACTTCTTTATCTGGCTGTTTATGAGTAGCCTTTACAATATCCTTTTGTAACAAACTGGTAATCCAGTATGTACAATGTTTCTCTGCATTCTGCTTCCAGCAAATTAATAGCATCTGAGGAGGAGGTCCTGGGTTAGCCAGAAATATATGTGACATTCTGGACTTGCAATTGGAGTCTAAAGTGGGGGTGGTGGTGGGGACAGTCTTATACAAGTGAGTCCTTAACCTTTGGGATCTAACTGCTAGTATCTGATGTAGTCCCATTTGTTCATTTTCTCTTTAGTTTCAACTGCCCTAGGAGCTGTATCAGTGAAGAAATTGCTTCGGCATATGTCTGAGATTTTGTTGCCTTTGGATTCTTCTAGAATTTTTATGGTTTCCTGTCGTACATTTAAGTCCTTTATCCATTTTGAGTTTATTCTTGTGTATGGTGTAAGTTGGTGGTCTAGTTTCATTTTCTTGCATATATCTGTCCAATTTTCCCAACACCACTTATTGAAGAGACTATCTTGGCTCCATTGAATGTTCTTTCCTCCTTTGTCAAATATTAATTGAGCATATTGGTTCGGGCCGATTTCTGGGTTCTCTATTCTATTCCATTGATCTATATGCCTGTTCTTGTGCCAGTACCAGGCAGTTTTGAGAACAGTGGCTTTGTAATACATCTTGATATCTGGTATTGAGATCCCACCTACTTTCTTCTTTCTCAGGATCGCTGCAGCTATTCAGGGTC